AGTACTGCACACGAAAAGCAGTATTATTTACTGCAAGAAGGCGCACGCAATGGTGACACTCTAAACGAAATGGAACCTACATTTTTGTGCTGCCGTCGCCAGGTAATTACGAAGGTAGGGTATGGCTGCTTCTTCAGCCGGGCGAATACGATCGCTGAAGCATCTGACAGCCACAGACCACTGCTCCGCCGTGAAGGGGTTATAGGCAAGAGGATTGCACACCAGTTGGGAGAGGACGTTGGTCGAATCGTTGGCAGACGGTGTTATCTGATTTTGTAGCAGAAAATCACTCATCTTCTCAGCCACACGGAACAGACCACGCTCCTCATTGTTCAGTATACGCAGAAGTTCTTCATAATTGGCCCGAAGATGGAGTACCTAAAAGTCATTCGTAGGGAGAAGATGCATCATGCTTAATGGGAAAATCACGTTATCCGGATATTGACGAGGGGAGAAACCACGTTTGGCTCAGCGCTGTGTGGGTACTAGGGATGGGTAAGCAGTTTCTTAATAGCAGGCTTGAATCGCGAACACTTCGGCTTTGGGTGTTGTAGCGGTTGACTTCGTTTCTGTCATTCACTACATCCAAGTCCTCTATCGTCATAAAACTGTCACAAGCTCGCAGTGGACGGACACGACTTAAACTATTCAAGAAGTCAGTACCTCATTTTGCTTTAAAAACCCTTTTATTTAAGCATTTCTTTATAGACAAGGAGTGGTTTATGAAAGTATATTGAATTAAAACTGCGAAAACAACGATATAGCATGAAAGAGAGTAACATAAGAATTCAAGAAATATTACTTTTGATGATTGATTAAACTCCCGATAGCGATTATGGTCATTGATAGGAAAGAGAAGACGAAGAAGATGTTGAGATGGGAATGTGCCAAGGAATCTAATAACTTCACAGGAGTGATCCATTACACCGAACACGTAGCACCAAATCATTGTCACCCCACTGGGCACCTCAATGGCATTAAGTTCTCATCTGTTGTCCCACGGCCCTGTTTAGTAAACACAAAGGTCACTTAAACTGTTGGAGGCAACAGTAGTTTATGTAGTGCACCTCATTAATCCTAGTCCCAGCAGTTTGTCCCACAAAAACGGCGGTTATAGGGTCCTATGGGTGGGGAATTAGGATAGGCAGTGCAATATACTTTAATAACTGCTATATGCATTTTTATTTTATTACATTTAGAAATGTTGTTGATTTACATCGGTAGATTTTCCTAATCTGTCTTATCGTTTAACGTATTGTGGAAAAACCTGATTATCAAATTGCAGGTTTCTTGAAATTCGTGAAAAATAGAAATGGGGGTTAGGAGGTCGTCTACTTCAACTTACCTGAGGTCCAACATACCGTTCTGAAGTTAGATTAGTATAGTCCGCGGAGTGAAGCGCCGCACACAGCTTCAATTTACATGCGGAACAACTTAATCCCAGCGGCCGTGGGAAACAAATTCGACTACATTTTTTCACTTTACACTTCTAAAAATTTCCTTCCCTGCCTATCCTATTTCCCCACCCCCAAAACCCTATAACCACCGTTTCCGTAGGACAAAATTCTGGGACTAGGGGCATATGAGGTGTACTACATAAACTACTTTTGCCCTGTGGGATATTTCAGAATAGTGCGGTCGGCGAATCTTCCCCGTGGAATAGGACAGCATATAAAGCTTGATTTATTCAATAGGCAGGAAAAACGTGCTGTGGTACGAGTGGCCAAAGGCTTTATCCAAAGTCGGACACAACTGCTGTCTTCTACTCCATACTCCAATTATCAGACTTCCGTGGAGAGGTGACTTACAGTCCCGATAGCAGACCACGCCAGTTCGGACTGTTTTCCAACAAAAACAAGCCATGGAACTCGTAAGTCGCTTGGGTTGCCTAACCAACCCTACCTAGAATGACAATGCTTATCCCTTCACGGCAGACGGGGTAAGAAAGTGAGCCCTAAGCATGGTACTAATCACACCATCTGCAGACCGACCGTGAATTTAAAGTAACAACCCATGCGCCTCTCGCCTGAGTGAGGTAATTCATATCGAAAGCTTGAAATGTCTGTACCCGCATAAAGGTGGCGATAGTTAGTGTTAGGATTAGTATTCATATTCGAGAATATTTACCCTTTCAGTACTTTCACACAAGGCCACCTCTCATTAGTGAGGGCGGGCTTCCTGCTCCCATGTCTTACCGATAGTTTCGGCGCATGTCGGTGGAACTTAGAGGAGTCAATAAAACGTAGGTGGGACAGGCGGAGGGGGAGGGGTGGTAAGACCGATCTAGCTTGGACCAAGTGCTTAGTTCCTCACTTAATACAACCGAGCGCTCTTTGAAGTGGCAGTGGAGGAATGGTGTCCATGCCTGGACTGGATACCAACTAGCGAAATCAATTGGCCTTCCTTTGGAACGAAAGTAAGACTGGATGAACCACTTTTGATTTGGTTTTCCGGGAACTTCTCAATTGTTGGAGGCTAGAAGTTCCCTTAGTGGAGGTCGGTATGTGTGTAATCATGAATGTGTGACGTGCCTAGGCGCTGTTGATTTAGTCCACCGATGCGTCCACACTCATTTGTGGTTGCTTTCACCGTAGGACATGGCGAGCGTGAAAAAAATCCAAGTGAGACAGACGCACCGAAAGTCGGCTTCACCGCACACGAAATAACGAGTGCATTGTCATCGATCGATCGTTGGATTAGCGGTGGTCCTTGTCGCTTGTAAGGGAAGAACTGCAGGTGCTGGTGAAGGTATATACCTTCCTGAGTAGAGGAGTGTCTATGTATAGTAACTTCATTTGC